ACACACACACACACACACACACACACACACACACACACACAATAAATGAGGAATCTTTAAGCAACTTGCTTGCACTTCATCTGACTGCAAACACGTGTGACTGTTTATTAATAACCTACAGTGTGACAAACACAGGAAATGTGGGAGGAACTGATAACCTGCTGAGCTCCATGTGGACTCAGCTGCAAGTCTCCCCAGAGTTACAGTTCAACATCTCTAAGAAGATGAGAAAAACAACTCACTGGGGGTGTGTGTGCGTGCCCATGTGTGTGTGTGCCCATGTGTGTGTTTCCCTATCATGAAAACATGCATATTAAAAAAAATAAACCTTGAGCCTTCAACACTACACTATGTATTAAGTTTGATTTCAAATAAAATCAATAATCCTGTAAAGTGCTGCAGCTATTCCACAATGACAATGTTACTTTACTTAAAAGCCTGGTGAACAGCGTTTAGCACAGATGATGCCAAAGAATTTTCTTAAGTGTTTGTAGAATGCTTTTTAGTGTTTTCTATATCAGCAGTTAGGCCATGAATACAAATAGGTCACAAACAAGAGAAAAATAAAAACCTAAATGTTCTATATGCAGTTTTGTTGTTTGTAGACCTGCGTGTGCTCATTAATTTACTTATTTATTAACTTGTAATGTTTCAGCATCCAGTTCTTAGCCTGTGTGGTTTCTTATTTGTTATCAATATCCGGTCATGACTTGGGTATTTTTCCCTCTGTTCAGGTGTTTTTCATGCACGTTTACATGCTGGCGTGTACATCCATTCTCAGCATGAGACTAAAATTACTGCTAATCAGGAAAAGAAAGAAATGGTTAGCAGAGTGAGGTGTGAAACAGCCTGCATTAGAGCAGATGTCTTTATTGTACACCTGGTTGATAACAGGTGATGATATAACGTGAGCTAACTTCACAAAGAGAGGAAGCCTGTCCAGACCCACAAGAGCAATATAAGGAAAGAGAATAATGTTTAGGTTTTGCTCCTGTATGAGAGCTGCCATACTGCATGAAGCCAGACGCTTGCTCCTTGTTTTGCATCCATACCAAAGATTTTAAAAGAACAGAAAAAAAGAAAAGAAAAAAAAACTACTGACAAGTGGTAGGGTTGCTTCATGGATGAGCTTAGGTTATTTCTAAGCATTAATCTCACACAGACACACACACAAATGTCACATTAGTCTGCTAAGGAAGCAAATGTCAGCAGTGCTAGCACCAGCAGCCTTTTTTCCTCCTCCTGTGCAGAATGCAATGCCTAATGAGAAGTGCAGACAATGGCTGACAGTTTTAATTGTTCTCAGCGTTAGGTTTCACTCCACTACAAAGGGATCCCCGTCTTCCCTGTTTCTGGGGCTAAGCTAAAAGATCAAAACAGCACAAACATGAACAAGAGCAGCGCATACACAGGTTGTTAAACTAGATGTTAAACAAATTTTTGACTCTGCTACCAGGTGCAAATAAACTGCGTCAAATATGGATGAACCTATGTGCACATACGAGTTGCATGCCTCACTGCACGCAAGAGAATAGACTGCCTACATCTATGGACACAAAAAAAATGAGCCAAAGCTGAAAGATCAGATGGACATGGAATAAAGGCAGTAAAAAGCTAACAAAAAAAAAAGAACAAATGTATTAACCCTGTGATGGACTGCTGACCTGTCCAGGGAGTCTTAATTGGAAAAACAGTTAAGAAAATAGGCAGGTGAAAAATTACATAGGAAAAAGAACAGGGCTATAAGACAAGGCTGGATAGAGGCTGTGTTTGATCACTGCCCATTTTTCCCGTTACACTACTTAACCTGTTTATGTTTGACTGGAAGTGCAACCTTTCCAAAGCTGCACAACAGTCTGGTTAAACCCTGGCCAGTTCAGTATATCCCACTGTGTGGGTAGGAGGGAAAAAAGGTGCAAAAGATATGTAGAACAATAACAAGCAAACAAAGTGTGAAGGAAAGCAACGAGATAAGAGTCTGTGACAGAAAATAAAATGTTTTATACTAATTCAAACGGCACAGTGTGCATCCATTTTCTAAGTCTGTCATGATGCTGGATGTGTGGCCAGCAGAGACCAAAATAAACAGCTCCAAGTTATGCAACATCGCCCTGGAAACAACTCATAAATATTCATTATTGCAACTCAGCGTGTCTTGACTTAAATTGATAGAAAACACATTTCGAAACAACATGGCATTTACTGTGAATGCAGGTGAATGTTCACATCGTTAGGGATGCTTCAAATGTGCTGCTTTTGCTTTGTAGGGATTTCATGTATGTATTGTACTTGTACAGACTATAATCCTGCCTGTGTGTCACTATATTATCTGTGATTTGTGTGGGTGTATGCGTGCACATCTGCTTCCTCTATTTTGGGCTCTTTGATTAGGTCTAAGTGTTACAGAGCCTGCACTCTTGGATTTGGATTTTGAGTGCACGTACAGCCAAATGGATGACAGTATAGTAAATAGTACAAGGTTTTCCTGCACACAAAGAAAAGTTTGCCTCTCTCAGGATTGTGGTAGCATTTTTATATGGGTTTTCATTTTTCAAGTTTTTGTATCAAATGGCCAGAAATTCTCCAAATAAAAAGGAAAAGTGCTTCAGTGCCTGCTTTATTGCCTTCTTTAGCTGAAGATACAGTGTGCCATCCGTTATGAAAGGAGTCAAGATAATGCCATTCCTCAATTCACAGCAAAGCACTATCCAAACATTCATGAAAACGATCAACATAACTGACAAAGTAGTCGAGGACATGCAAATGCTACATGCACTTGCATTTTCCACTTCATGCAATATATTACACATCTACTACTACTACTGTAAACTCATTAAACACACAGGATAACTATGAAAATCATGCTAATAAAGAAATTGCCGCAGACTGTGTGGTCCTCACTGAGGTTTGAGAGGCATTTCAATTTGGTTCAGAACAGATCTGATACCAGAAACAGGTGAAAACTTATTCAGTCCATACATATTGCTGAGAAAAGAGTTCAGTTGAGCCCTGTTTCATCACCAGTATCATCGAGGAGCAGAATTATGTAGATCTCAGCTCTAAACACTCAAAATGAGGACAGACCTAATATGTTCCTCCTTCTTTTAAAACTTTTGCAATGAGATGTTTTTTGTTTGTTTTTTTAAACGAGTTGTTCTGTTCTGCATAAAACAAGGTCAAATAAAGCTAAGGTGCAGTAAGTTTCACATTTTGTACTCCGTCTACTAGACATTGTAGTTTCAACAAGCTTAAGCATGGCGTTAAGGAGTTTTCTGTAAGTACAGTTGGATTCTCTTTATTTGTCCAATAAGACAAAAATAAGACAATAAGACAAAAGTGTTCATTAGCATGTTCTACAACTACGCATATGTAAAATTGCATAGCATTATGATTTCAGTGCAGCATGATCAGTCTCTGACTACTCCAACCACAGCACTACATGCTAACTCATGTTATCAACACAATAAGCCCAGAAAAAATTAAGCACACATACTTACTTCTTCACTATAACTAGTAGGTAAGAAATTACCTCACAGAAGAATCTGTTGTGAACTTCAGATGTACACATGGATCAGAGGCCGAGGGCTCAGTGTGAACCTGGGGCAGGACAACCATCATCTTTGCCATTACCCATACATTTTTTACTTAGCATTCTTTGATGAGACATCTCCCTCCTATAAGTCTCTGTTTAAACTGGCACCACATCTGTTGGAGTAAGATTCTGCTCCATGCGTTTGCAAACACAAAAATTACAGACCAGTGCACACCACCACTTCTGCTGAATTCCTCCAACACAGACATAAGCCTCCTGCAAAC